CCCATCTCTTGAAGAATTTTCCACAGTTCGTTATGACCCACACAAAGCTTTAGCATAGTCAATGAAACAGAAATAGATGTCTTTCTGGAATTGCCTTGCTTCTCTATGATCCAATGAATGTTGGCAATTTGATCTCTTGTTCCTCTGCCTTTTCTAAATCCAGCTTGTGCATCTGGAAGTTCTTGGTTCATGTACTGCTGAAGCCTAACTTGAAGGATTTTGAGCATTAACTTGATAGCATGTGAAATGAGTGTAACTGTACAGTAGTTTGAATATTCTTTGGCATTACCCTTCTTTGAGATTGGAATGAAAACTGACCTTTTCTAGTCCTGCGGCCACTGCAGTTTTACAAATTTTCTGACATATTGAGTGCAGCACTTTCACAGCATCATCTTTTAGGATTTCCAATAGTTCAGCTGGAATTCCATTACCTCCACTATCTTTGCTTGTAGTAATGCTTCCTAAGGCTCATTTGACTTCACACTCCAGGATGTCTGGCTTTAGGTGAGTGATCACCCAATCATGGTTATCCAGTTCATTAAGACCTTTTTTGTATAGTATTAGTATTAGTCGCTCAGTCATATCTGACTCTTTGCAACCCCATGGGTTGCAGCCTGCCAGGCTCATCTGTCCATGGAATTCTCCAGGCAAGAATACTGGAGTGAGTAGCATTTCCTTCTCCAGGGGATCTTCCCAACCCAGGGATCAAACCCACATCTCCTGCATTGCAGGAAGATTCTTTACCCTCTGAGCCACCAAGGAAGTTCCTTTTTTGTATAGTTCTGTGTATTCTTGCTGCCTCTTTTTAATCTCTTCTGCTTCTGTTAGGTCCTTGCATTTTCTGTCCTTTATTGTGCTCATCTTTGCATGAAATGTTCCCTTGATTTCTCCAGTTTTCTTGAGGGGATCTCTTATCTTCCCATTCTATTGTTTTCCTCTATTTCTTTGCATTTTTCACTTAAGAAGGCTTTCTTATCTCTCCTTGCTACTATCTGGAACCCTGCATTCAGTTGGGTAAATCTTTTCCTTTCTCCCTTGCCTTTCACTTCTCTTCTTTTTCTCAGCTATTTGTAAAGCCTCCTCAGACCACCACTTTGCCTTCTTACACTTCTTTTTCTTTGGGATGGTTTTGGTCACTGCCTTCTGTAAAATGGTACAAACCTCTGTCCACAGTTCTTCAGACACTCTTCAGAGTGTCAGAACACAATAGTGTTCTTCAGACACTGCCAGATCTAATCCCTTGAATCTATTTGCTACCTCCACTGCATAACCATAAGGGATTTGATTTAGGTCATACCTGAATTGCCTGGTGGTTTTCCCTGCTTTCTTCAATTTAAGCCTGAATTTTGCAATAAGGAGCTCATGATCTGAGCCACGGTCAGCTCTAGGTCTTGTTTTTGCTGACTGTATACAGTTTTCCATTTTCAGCTGCAAAGAATATAATCAATCTGATTTCAGTATTGACCATCTGGTGATGTCCATTTGCCTTTTCATACTATTCATGGGGTTCTCAAAACAAGAATACTAGAGTGGGTCACAATTTCCACCTCCAATGGACCACGTTTTGTCAGGACCCTCCACTATGGCCACCCACCCATCTTGGGTGGCCCTATACAGCATGGCTTCACTGAGTTCCACAAGTCCCTTCACCATGAGAAGGCTATGACCCATGAAGGAGGATATGGTTCAGAATGGGATGCAAATCTCAAGTCCTATTAAGGTGCCTTTATCTTTCCACCCAGTGTTCTCACTCTGTATAGGCTCACCGAGTTCCTCCAGGGCTCTGTTCAATTGTCATCCCCTCTAAGAGGCCTTCCTTGCATCACCCATGTCAAAGAACAGCCCTGGCACTCTCCAGTCCCTCTTCCCTGCTATACCGTGCTTACCACCATTTGACACTGTATTCTGGATCTGTGTGTGTCTCCTCTTAGAAACCAAGTTCTAAGGGGGCAGAGGCCTGTCTTGTTTGATGTATTCCCAGTGCCTGATCTGGACTGGACTGATCTGGGCAGCACTAGATCTATTTTCTGGTTAATGTAAACATAACTTCAGCTGGAGATTAAGCTTCAGATTCCAACCCAGTAGAAATATGATGTGGGTTCCAAGTGGTTTCTTGCCTTCCCTAGTAAGAGTTCATGGCTGCCTCCCTCAGGACAGTGCTGGGTGGGAAGGGTCTCTGCTTCTGAATAAGGGATTACCTCTGCATTTCCAGGGCTGACACCTGCAGGACAGGGTTTTCTTGAGCAATCACTAGTGATCACTCACAGGAGTACCTTTTATGCTGGCTCAGGAGTCAGAAGACCTGGGTTCCACTCTTGATTTAGCCGCTCACACATTGTGTGACCACAGACCATCACAGCACCTCTGTGAATCATTTATCTTATCAGAAAATTGGGAGGTTGAAAGCCCTATGGACTTTGACTGTAATGACTACTAGTTCGTTCAGTTGTTACCCTCTCCTAAGATATGTAGAAACTAAGGTTTCTTGCCAGCATTATGTACCTGGGAATAAGACCCAAAGAAATTAATCAGCAGGGGCAGAGACTAATCTTAAACGAGACAGAGGAAAAAAACAGAAGTGAAAAGAATAACTTTCCTTTGATTCCTTTCATCATGATTCATCTTTTGTACAAGTAATCTATGTTCAGTTTTGATTAGAAAATAGCAACAGGTTTGGACTCTTCTCAGAAGTAGACTCTGTGAGGTCTACACAATGTTTTAGTTTCAGCTGCAGTCTGAAACCACTTGGGAAGTTTTTTAAAAAAAAATTATATTTCATTGGTGTGGAGAGTGGCCCGGGTTTTTTTACATCTATTATTATTATTTTAATGTCTTCAAGTGATTGAAGTACAGCTAGATAAGATCCACTCCTTTTGTCACTCTTCATCCTTGCCTCCTATCCCTAGTACTATTTCTTATATTCACAGATTATTTAACCAAAATCATTTCCCAAGTACCAACATGGCCTAAAGTGGCATTTTCTAAATTTCCAGACACTCAGAGTATGTATTGCTTGGATCCTCCCTTCGAGATTAAGTTTCCTTTACTCTGAATTAAGGCTTTGTGTACATTGCAAATACTGTAAAATCACCAAATTACCAGCATTCAACATTCTGCATTGACCCATGTGAAGAGTGGGTGCTGTTTCAGTGATTTACTGAAAGGGTCTACAGAATGGCAGCCAGCTGAGGGGAAATATCCATCTCCCAAATTCTTCAGAGCCTTAAATTCTCTAGTTATCTCTCACCATCTCAGAACTTTTTCCAAACGTCAAAGATACAAGGGCAGAAAAGATCAGTGAGTTTTATTCCATGCTTTGATACGGATATTTTTATACCCAGTAATAATGATAGCCAACAATTGAGGGCTTAAGTCAGACACTAAGAACTTTACATGAGCTTGATGTATTAACACACAGGGTCATGCCACCGCTATGGTATAAGTGTCCAGGTTGCACATGAAGAAACTGAGGCCACAGAGGTTAAGTTCACTGCCTAGAACAAAAGTGAGCTAAGTGGTACTGGGTCTTGAATTCAAGCCCCCTGACTCCAGACAAAGCCTCTGCTCTTAAACCACTGTGACTCAGGGCCACCTACAGGACTGAATTAACTGGTCAAGAGTAAAAATACCAAATGAGCACATAAGGTCACAGTATGTACTTAAAAGCTGGAGGAGGAAGCTCAGGGTAACACAGTGCTGGTGCACACATGGATGTTAAGTGAATCATCTGCATGATGTATGTGTGTCCTAGGAGGTGGTCAAGGTGCTTGCTTTCATATATGAAAGAATACCAGTAAGACCCTTAGCTTTCTGCGCAGGAGGGTAGCTCATCACCATTTCAAGGAGGCTACCTGCAGTGGCATAGTACACCTGGGGAAGACTGACTGATACAGGAAATAAAATGCACCTAGCACCCACTCACTGGTTAACTTAACAACAATGTACATTAAACTGCAAACGCATTCTACCAGTTCCTTTTATGAATCAAAATAGACAGCCAATGGGAATTTGCTGTATGTCTCACGGAACTCAAATAGGGGCTCTGTATCAACCTAGAGGGGTCAGATGGGGAGGGAGACTAAAGAGGGAGGGGACATATGTACACCTATGGCTGATTCATGTCTATGTTTGACAGAAAACAACAAAATTCTGTAAAGCAATTCTCCTTCAGTTAAAAAATAAATTTTAAAAAGATAGTAAGAAAGGAAAAAGGTCCAAAATTGTTAATAGCAACTTTATTGTTTCACTGGTGAAAAAAAATCATAACTGTATGATGCATTTCCCCCTAAATTTACAACAATGAAGGTTATACATAAATTATATAGACCACAAATTTTCTATTTTATACTATTTAGAACAAAATTATTTTGATAAATATGTCCAGAAGACAACATAAGTTCTTAATGGATGGCTGAGTCCAAATATGCAAAATATAGCTTCTGGTTTAGACCATGGTGCTTTAAAATCCTCAAACATGCATTAATATACTCTAATTTTAGGGAAAATATTACACATGGCCTTATCTTGCATTTTGGGAGAAGCCCAAGCTGAATTTCACATACAGTATTCCTTTCCTCTAAATTAATTTCAGAACAAAGATACTTTCAGGTTAGTACTTCCAAGGAATGAAGGAAATTATACACTCAACAGTGAAACAAAACAGAAAAAACGGAAGGGGAGTTTCATTAGTAACAGAGATAAGTGGGGGTTTTTTGGCTTTTTTTTTTTTGTTTCTTTTAAACAGATCACAGGAATTTTAAATAGCAGATCAATCATGCTACTTAGGATGAGCAGACAGACCTGAACACTTATGAAGTGAATAATTTTCTTAAGGTCTTGAAGGTGAGTGTCCGGAGGTGCTGGGTAAAACACACCACAGGTAAGAAACGGGAAACCTACCTCAGCATTTCTGAAAGGCACAATCTATGGAAGGGAAGCCTAGTATAATAAAACCCTTACTGGATGTGCATGGAAAGGAGGATGGTGAGCCTGACTCCTTTTTAAAGGATGAGACCCTCATAAATTGGCCCTTCAGATTCTGGTGATTCCCGCCGCAAGCGCAGATGCTCCAGTGTGTTATGGAAATGTTTGTTAATCTGCTCTGTTTCCTCACTGGATTCAAGATTTGGGAGGTCTTCTCGAATCTTTTGGATAAGCTGATTCAAAACCTGAATAGTGACCTATAAAAGAATACATACAATTTCACAATCAAGTATGTACCATAAAAGATAATGTAATTTAATACGAACATCTTGAAGAGCTTTTGTTACTGTTAGAAGTTACCAGAATAATTATGAAAAAAAAGAGATGTGAGAACACGATCCCTGGCTTCAGGGACAACTATTGGCTATTCATCTAAAATATCAACAAACAAAAAATACTTAATGGAAACACAGAACTTCATAAACCAGTAAAAGAACAAAAGCCATTTATTTAACCTATAAATATTGATCAATCCTTTATTTGGGAGTTACTCTATACTTGTGGTAAATACTATTCAGCATTTGTAAATTCTTTTTTATTTTTTAAACAGAGAGTGACTGTTTCCAAACCAGGAAAGGAGTACCTCAAGGCTGTATATTGTCACCCTGCTTATTTAACTTATATGCAGAGTACATCACGAGAAACGCTGGGCTGAAAGAAGCACAAGGTGGAATCAAGACTGCCAGGAGAAATATCAATAACATCAGATATGCAGATGACACCACCCTTATGGGAGAAAGCAAAAGAGCTACTAAAGAGCCTCTTGATGAAAGTGAAAGGGAGTGAAAAAGTTGGCTTAAAGCTCAACATTCAGAAAACTAAGATCATGGCATCTGGTCCCATCACTTCATGGGAAATAGAGGGGGAAACAGTGACAGACTTTATTTTTTGGGGCTTCAAAATCACTGCAGATGGTGATTGCAGCCATGAAATTAAAAGACGCTTGCTCCTTGGAAGAAAAGTTATGACCAACCTAGACAGCATATTAAAAAGCAGAGACATTCCACAAGCAATAAATGCTGGAGAGGGTATGGAGAAAAGGGAACCCTCTTACACTGTTGGTGGGAATGCAAACTAGTAGCCGCTATGGAGAACAGTGTGGAGATTTCTTAAAAAACTGGAAATAGAACTGCCATATAACCCAGCAATCCCACTCCTGGGCATACACACCGAGGAAACTAGATTTGAAAGAGACACGTGCACCCTAATGTTCATCGCAGCACTGTTTATAATTGCCAGGACATGGAAGCAACCTAGATGCCCATCAGCAGACGAATGGATAAGGAAGCTATGGTACATATATACAATAGAATATTACTCAGCCATTAAAAAGAATTTATTTGAATCAGTTCTAATGAGATGGATGAAACTGGAGCCCATTATACAGAGTGAAGCAAGCCAGAAAGATAAAGACCAATACAGTATACTAATGCATATATATTGAATTTAAAAAAGATGGTAATGATAACCCAATATGCAAAACAGAAAAAGAGACACAGATGTACAGAACAGACTTTTGGACTCTGTGGGAGAAGGCAAGGGTGGGATGTTCTGAGACAACAGCATTGAAACAAGGATACTATCAAGGGTGAAACAGATCACCAGCCCAGGTTGGATGCATGACACAAGTGCTCAGGGCTGGTGCACTGGGAAGACCCAGAGGGATGGGATGGGTAGGGAGGCGGGAGGGGGGATCGGGATGGGGAACCCATGTAAATCCATGACTGATTCATGTCAATGTATGGCAAAAACCACTACAATATTGTAAAGTAATTAGCCTCAAACTAATTTTTAAAAATGGAAAAAAAAAAAAAAAGCAGAGACATTACTTTGTCAACAAAGGTCTGTCTAGTCAAACCTATGGTTTTTCCAGTAGTCATGTATGGATGTGATGGACTATAAAGAAAGCTGAGTGCCAAAGAATTGATGCTTCAGAACTGTGGTGTTGGAGAAGACTAGAGAGTCCCTTGGACTGCAAGGAGATATAACCAGTCCATCCTAAAGGAAACTGGTCCTGAATGTTCACTGGAAGGACTGATGCTGAAGCTGAAACTCCAATACTTTGGTCACCTGATGCGAAGAACTGACTCACTGGAAAAACCCTGATGTTGGGAAAGATTGAAGGTGGGAGGAGAAGAGGACAACAGAGGATGAGATGCATGGCATCACTGACTCAATGGACATGAGTCTGAGTAAACTCCAGGAGTTGGAGATGGACAGGGAAGCCTGGCGTACTGCAGTCCATGGGGCTGCAAAGAGTTGAACATGACTGAGCAACTGAACTGACTATTTTTATAAAATGTTCATAAGCAAAAGAGATAAGAATTTTCTTGCACATAGTGAGCTCTTCTGTTAGATGCCATCCATACAGACAGAGAACTTTAGAGAATGAGAGACCAACTAAGTGGATTCTCCAAACTCTGACCCTTGTAAACAAAAAAAAAAGAAAATATCAGAATGATAAACTTTTGTATGTGTCAAACCTAAGAATAGGAAAATAAAGTATTTCACTAACAACAATTTACTATTCACTTACCGCATCATTTTCCTTTTCATAAAAATAGATATATCTGTTCAGGATTTCTATAAAAAGTTGCACTTGTAGAGAGGGGTCCATGCACTGATTTGCTATTTTCAGAGCTTTCTTTAGGCATTCCATTACCCTTTTGCCTCCATGCAGCTAGAAAAAAGGTAGTGAGGAGTATTAAAGAGAGAATATTAAAGAGATAAATGAATTACAAATGTCCCATTTCACACAAAGAAATAAACACACTACTATGGCTCTTTCGTATTTTAAAAGGACACAAATTTAAATCCTCTTCACTTTTTAAAGTATACAGCAATATTTTAAAACAAATATATTGTTTTATATATTTATATGTTAAATGTCTCACATTTATTTTGTATATTTTTAAAAGGAAGTGGTACAAACTTGCTATGTTGCAAAATCCTCAAAGTGCAGGCTTCACCACAGCATGTAACTCTCTATACATTACTGTTCATTTCATTTAACAAAACAAAGAAATTTCGTCAGGTTTCTAAGCACTCTACCTATTTCACCTCCAAGGCACAACGCCACAGCAGCCGTTCCCTATCAACGATCCCCTCTCCTGTCACACTGCTGGTCAGGAATGACCTCCCATCTTACCTCCTCTCCATTTTTGTCTGTGTTTCTGCCAGACCAGAAGAGATGGGCACAGGTGCTCACAGCTCGGCCCTGATCAGGTTTCTTCAGAAGTTTGGATGCAGCAAGAGCACACTGAGTCCTCAAGGGTTCATGGTTTTCTTCACTGAAGCACCTCATCCTCTCAAAAGTACCAATGATCAAGGTGATGGCAGCCAGCTGTGCTTTGGAATCACTGATTTCATCTTCGTACAGAGAAAACGCCTGATGCACACAAAGCAGAAATGACCTTTAGAGACTAAGTATCTATTAGAGCATTTTCCAAAGTTATTTCCCATCAAAGCCTCATCCTGTGAATAGTTCAGATTAGAATATACATGTGCCCTTGCTTGGAGAGCCACAAGACAAAGATGCTGACAAGCTGCAACAAAGAAAATTGCTTTAACTTTTAATCCAGAAATTCCAAACTGAATTAACAAAGGGATTTTTTTTTTCCTCTTGAAAGTTTTACCATGACATACTTGAAAATCCTCAAGCTCACTCAAAGTATGAGAGGATTAGTTACTGAGTCATGTCCAACCCTTTGTGGCCCCACAGACTGCGTAGCCCACCAGGCTCCTCCATCCATGGGATTCTTCAGGCAAGAATACTGGAATGGGTTACCATTTCCTTCTCTAGGGATTAAACCCAGGTGTCCCATACTGCAGGCAGACTCTACCGTGTTGGCCACCAGGGAAGTAGTGTCCAGTAATTCTGATCAATTTTTCTGCTCTAAACCAGGCAATAAAACTACAGTATTAAGAAGCATAGTATTTCCTATCAAGATGGTGGAAAAGGGCTGCTTATAAATTAAGAGTAAATCCCTGTGTACCACCATCATTAACATTGTTAGCAAAACATAACGTAACGTAACATCATTAACATAACAAGTGACTGAACAGAGCAAACAGATTCATCCCAGAAAGAGAGCAGATCATCACCTGGGACATAAATTCATACGCTACTGTTTCATGATTTTCAAAACCAATTTCTCCAGCAGCTAGAGCCCCCTGAAGAAAAAGTCTTAAGGGTAATTCTGCCAACTCTGCTTTGATCAAAGCACTGATAGTCTGGTGAGCAAATGAAAAAATCTTCTGGCATTTCTTTTCCCATTTGTCATCCTAAAAAAAGAAAAAATAGTTAAATTACCTTAAATTCAATATTAACTTGCTTAAGAATATTTATTTTAAATAAAACTTTTATGTAACAAATAGGAAAAGTGGTAAAAGTTGAGTTCACAGTTTTCCTACTATCTTCCTGTCTCTTTTGTGGAGTCCGTAAGTAAATCAAGCAGGATGCCTTCTCAAAACAAACATTTGAGGTCACTGGCTTTGCAATTTTTATATATTTGGTTGTGTGTTTTTTTTCTATCAGAAAAAGCAACATATTTCCAAATTGGACAAAATTTGGAAAATACATAAAAGAATTTTTAAAAAATTCTTTAAAACCATCCCTAAATCTACCACCCAGCAATAATCACTAATTACATTCTGATGTTAATGTCTTCCTTTCTTTTTCCTATGCAAATATTATGTAACTGGAATCCTTTGGGTACGGTTTTGTTTTCCACTTTAAAGTACTTACTGAGAAGGGTTAAATTGGGCTCAGTGCTGCATGTAACTTGTACTCAACTCCTTTTCTTTCAGTTATTTTATCATGATTTTCCTCATGATATTAAAATTATTTAAAATTATTTTAATCACTAGAAAATATTCCATAAAAAGGACACAGCATAATTTACTTCCTTTTGGATATAAATGTAATATAACAAATGGTCTATAAATATAAAGCATTATTGAGTCCCTAATTTTTTCCTTAGTATAAATTTTTAGAAGTGGAAATACTGGATTTATTAAGGCTGTAGTTACATACTGCCAGAGTTTTCTAGAAAGACTGCACTAATTCACATTCCCACCATTACTAGATGAGAATGAATACTCATCACACCATTGCCATTGCTGAACATTTTTCTTTTTTCTTTACCAGTCTGATTTCTAAATAAGTTCACTATTATAATTACCAGTGAGGTTAAATATCTTATTCATGTCTGACCACCCAAATTTCTTGTTAAAGCAATCAATTCTTTTCGTCTTTAAGAGAGGGTAACAGTCACAGACTTTTACAAGGAAAAAATGCAATAATCCAAGTTTATAGTCCTTGGCACAATGTATGGCAGACAGTAATGTGCTAGTTGCTTTCTTTATTGTTGCATTTACAAACATGTATCCATAAAATATTGGGAAAAAAGGAATTACATGACAGGCTGGCCTTATAAAAACTGGCCAAAGGCATGCTATGTCATGCTGGTGGGTCTACTGAATATACCTTCTCTATTAATTATTGTTTCTCCATTATTAGAATGTTTCTCCAATATTAGATCTTACTTGTTATGTACTGCAACCTCTGAATGAGACTACTGTCTCACTTCAGAACTTGTATTTATTTATAAAGACTCCAAGAAAATAAAATCATTCTTGAAGAAGTAAAGCATTGTCAGTGATTCTGTGAAAAACTTATCAATGTCTCATAAGTGTTCTTTAGACACAGGAAAAACTTCAGCATCAATTTAAACCATTTGAATCTTTCATTTCTAAGTGTTTTTTTAATGTGATTCCTCAACTAGTATGTAATCTACCAACATCACTATTAGTAATACTTAACACAGGACTAGAAATGAGTTAAGTTATTGAAACTGGGATTTTATTATACCATTTTTTATTTGTACATGTTTGAAATTTTCTATCATAATAAAGTAAAATACACACACACAGAGGAAAAAACTAGTGACATACTTAAAAGTAAACCCACCACTTTAGAATTCTCTTTGTAGCGAAAAGCCAGCTGGTAAGCTGCAAATACCAAAGGTGGCAGTGTGAAGCGAATCCGTTGATTTCCACCAGCTCCAAAATGTTTTCGTGCTGTGTTTAAAATCTGACCAAAACAGACAGAACCCATTAATTGATCATTTATAAAATTAAATGAGAGCTCTAATCATTATGATTGCTACTGTTTTTTGAATACAGTTTTTATGGTATACTCTTACATTTCTTTTCTTGCCAAGGCATCACCATCACCCAAGAGATAGATGCCCGCCAGGCTCCTCTGCCCATGGAATCCTCCAGACAAGAATACTGGAGGGGTAGCCATTCCCCACTCCAGGGGATTTTCCTGACCCGGGGATCGAATCCGCATTTCCTGCGTTGCAGGCAGACTCTTTACTGTCTGCACCACCAGGGAAGCCCATCTCACAAATAGGGGAAAGCTTGAGGTTGAGAGAGACTGTAATACTTGCCCTAACTACTAGCCAGGGGCAGACACAAATTTAAATATATTTTCACACACACATGTAAAAAGTATGCTGTGTTGATAAAGAGCACAGGCTCTGAAGATAGACACATTTAAACATAGATCCTAACACTATATGTGTGATCCTGGGAAAATTACCATTTACCTTCTCTTAACTATAATTTTCACTCTCAGGGTTGTTGGCAAGATCAAATAATAGATGTAAACTGTTATCAGTACTAACACATGGCATGTACTCAAAATACTGGCTACTATTATAATATAAAAAATATGCATATTGCTGGTACATCATGCCTCTTCAGGAAAATATTAAGACCATTTAAGGAAAATGGTAATAAACTTTAAAAGAGCCATCAGAAAACAAATGTCTGGTTGTTTCAGAAAAATCACAAGAATTCATGAAATACTTTTGACTATGTGGAGACACAGTGTGTGACATATTCAAGTTTTGTAAATTTCTCTGATAATGGTAGATGGATAGGAAAAGAATGCATTCCCCCTTTAGAAAGTCAAAACTAATGATCCTCACCTTAAAGGTATTTCTTTACATGGCATAACAAAGCTGGCCACAGGTGGAAAGCACACTTTCTACTTTGGTTTGCAACGAAAAATGAAAACCCACATAGGCCATGTATGTAACATGACACAGAAACATAAGGCAATCAGTTAAAACATTTGAACAATCAGGCCAGCCACTAGGTACAGATCACATGCAGTGCAGACTGCTTGATGCTAAGCCAAGTTGAAGACTATCGCACTACAGACAGAAATCAGCTTCTTTTTCACAATGGTTATGAAAGAGTTTACAAGAGTGTCAGCTATGACAAAGTCAACACAAGCAGTCAGGGCCCATCCTCAAATTAAGGTGTTCTTCATTACAACAGACTAACAGTCCCACATATCCAACAATGGTTAATCTACTTTGCCCAAACAATAATTAAGTCACTATCTGTGCCACCTTTTATAAATTATCCAGTATCAGTCACCAATATCCTACTCAATGTGGCAAACAAACACAACCTCTATTTGCAAACCTTGGAAACATAAACACAACTGAATATAAAGGTTGTTGCTCATACTTGAAAAGTTTATTATGAAAAACAACTGAACAATTCTAAAAGCAACACACAGTTCAGAAAGAAAATAAACATGGAATGATTACTGGATGGATACCCAACTAAAGGAAGATAGACTTTTCTACAATTCCTAAGAAGTCTTCAGAAGAAATTACAGCAACCAACTTGTTCTTCATAAGCTACAGAAGTTTACAATTAACGCACTTAATCATAAAGTAAAAGTCCAGTTAATCGCTTACTCAGTTTCAATTCTTTTGAAACCTTTTAATACTACAAGCTGGATTAAACTATTTGAGACACATATACACATGATTTCACAAGAAAGTATAAGAAGAGTTAATTCATACCAAGTACTGCTGATCAGGGTCCTCAGACCGCAGAAGATGAATGAATCTGCCCACAAGGCTCTGCTCATCAGCAAAGTCCTCGGGGTCAGGTTCTTCTACAGGTTGATCTGGCTGATCCTGAATCAGTGTAGATACCAAATTCATTATGGAATCCACCTGTAATATGGAAGACATGGAAACTGACTAGGGTGAAACAATCAGCATGTAATGCCACTGACAAAAGTGCTTCTAAGTTGTGTCAAGTTATAAAACAGTATCAACAACTTAATTCCTTTTTTCTGTATGAAAGTGTATGCATGTTGGTACACATTAGATAAGAGTCTAGAAAGAGACAGACCAAATGTTAATTAAGAGCAGTTATTCTCTTCCTGTGGGATTATAGCTATTTTATATTTTCTTCTTTATACATCTCTAATCTTCTCATTTATATAATGAATAAGCTATTTATAACTATTTTTTAGTAGCATAACTACTGAAGTGTATATATACACACTAAAGTATACTACTAAAGTATATATATATACACTAAAGTATATAAAGTAGTATAACTACTAAGTAGTATCACTATTTTTTAGTAGTAAATGACCTTCCCCTCCCATCTCATGTGTTTGTCTCATTGTCTAAAACCATAACTACTTTGTCTCTGTATTCTTAATATATAGCATGTCAGTATTCTCTTACCTGGTCTTGAGAGACAATTTCTGTATTATAATCCAGAACATTACTAAGCACGTAACAACTCATGCTCTTTCTGGACTCATAGTCAAAATACTCAAAGAGTGGGTGGAAATGTTTTAATTTCAAGACTGTTAAAATATTGTTGTAAGTATCAACAGGAATCTTCAAAAGTCTGGTGAGCTCCTTTGAAACTGCACTACTGGTAGCAATACTGCCAAAAGAAAAACAGCAGTCCTTTAGTGAATAAATTAACATCTTACATACACAAACAGCACTGATTCATAAAAATTTGAAAATTTTCATTTACATGTTAAAGGAAATGGGTGAAGTGAATCACACCATCCCAAAATACCCCAGTGACTTCTAAGAGAGGTCTATTAGATGTCCACCTAAACACACACATTTATTCATCTATTAGAGTCCTATAGATACAACAGGTTACGCTGGTCTACAATTCATGAACAGGTTGTATACCTGGAGTTAAAAAAGACTGTCTAGAATGTGGCATTTCTAAGGGAAGTATTTTAAGTGGCAGTTAAGTTTCTAGGGCAGTCAGTAAGTACTGTATATTCAGGATGAGAAAGCCATGCAAAACTAGCAACTCAAGAACATAATACATAAGTTATTTCTTCTTTATCAGATGTTGGTGAATAAAGAAAAGCAGGATAAAATTAGGAACATTCCAGGGTGACTGAGGAATATCCAGGCATTAATAAGACCTTTAAAGGTTGGGACTTCGAATTCTTTATTCTGTCTAATTTTACTTTAAAACTCATTTAGTGGGGGAAGATATAGATACAAAACTTATTTACGATCTGGAATCCTTTTTGGTTCACACAAAAAATTAGAGTGACAAAAAGAAAAAGAAGGAATAAAAAAGCAGTAAAAGGAAAAAGAAATCTTCCAGACACAACTAAACCAGTGGAAGAGAGATGGGAAACAGAAAGATTACGTGAGATGAAATGATAATACAGGGCAAGGAGGGGCCTAGCTTGACTCATGTTCAGAAGCAGTGGAGGATGGGACAGTAAAGGGACTACTGGGAAAAGATAATAAGATCACAACTGTGCAAATGGCCACTACAGGATGCAACAGGTCTAGGACAGCATCGTTGAGGAAGATGCAAGTACACAACAGAATATTCATACTGTGCCTGATATCAAAATCAAAGCTGAAAATAGAAAAAATTTAAACCAATGTAATTTTCACATCTTAAATACATACATGAATCCCTAATTTTTTCATAATTTACTCATCTGTAGGAAACTACTTATGGAAATACTAACTCACTCTTAGATACAAAGGGGTCTGAATGGAGACACTGGTCCCTAAAGATGCCTATGGTCTATGAATGTCACTACTTGATCACTGTACACAACCAGGCAATTGGCTGCCACTTTCTGCCCTGGTTAGTACCAAGCATGTCAATCTCACAAATGCTTAAAAAACAAGATGAACTCTAACATTTTTTTTAAAAATTGTGAAAGAAAAACAAATCTGGGACAAAAAAGCCTTACAAAGGTTTTTATAAAAACGTTTGACTTACTGTTCAAGGTTGAGCTTATTAAATATCTCCACTGTTGTTTCTAGAACTTTATCAACATAGTCCACACGATCAGGATAACACTTCATAGCGAGATTAATGAGAGAGACTTGTAAAGATACAACATCCTCTGAAGGCATGTCCTGTCTAGACTGGAATGTTCAGAAAACCATGGAATTTATTTTAAACAATTACTAAAAGACTATAAGCAGAGAATTATGAAAGTTTTTAGAACTTAGGAAGAAAGTCATACAAACCTGTATTACTGTAGCCACCTGCTGTGAAAATATATCAAAAAGTTTAATATCTGTTGGGATCCCAGGTCCATCTTCACGGTGAGCAAATAAAGCTAATCTAAAAAAGAAAATACTCTTTATTTAAAAAGATATAGGAATCTGGGTCGTGGGTTCATGGATGACATTTTAAACCTTTCAGCTTTTCTCTCAATTCATTTTTAATGGAACAACTTTACCAATGATGCCTTTTTCACTGCATTCTTACTTTACACTATACACACCAGATTTTTAACAGGTCAATTCTGTCAAATTCTTTGAAGCCTAATTAAGTAGACATGGATAGAACTGTATTAATATGACAAAATGTATTCAACAGCCATAGTTATAAAATGTAAAAAGTATATAAATAAATTTTAAGACACTGCATTTTTACTACTGTCAAGTTTAAAACACACCAATTCCAAAAGCAGTCAAGTTAACTTTTATTTACCACATCTTAAACTACTCAAAATAATGTTTGTTCCATTATCATTACTGTTTGTCCTGATTACAACTGGACCCACATTTTGTTATGCACAGAAGAATCACTACTGACAGAAATGGTTAAGTGGTGTTACGCCTAACATAAGAAAATCCAGTTAGGAGCTTCCATTTAGAGTATCCCCAATTGACTTATAATTCTTAAAACCAAGTATGGACCTGATAATTTGGAGAATTCAGCTATATAAATTGACTTTAAAACTAATAACTTAGATATTTAAAACATAATAAAAGTATTTGCAGAAATAAATCTTCACTTGGGTTTCTGGTTTCACAATGTCAATTAGTGTATGCTCACAAGCAGGACACATGCTATGTACGAGCACCCAGCAGGCACTCATTAAAAGTATATCAAAGGCCAAGTTTTATACTTTTAACCAAGACCAAGGGCTAAAGAAGTATAATTTAAACACATTGGGGATTTACTAACATTTTTAGTACTTGAAAACTCTTCTTTAAAAAAATGCAGTAATAGAGTGATTACTTAAACATTATTAATCATCTATATTTATGTCTACTTGATAAAGATTCCAGATCAAACTGATTCCCTCTGAAAGATAACTTTCATCATTGTAAAACACAGTTTGCTCTTTGGTGATAATTGGATTTATAAAATTTAAATGTTGGGCCTGTATAAAGTCTTTAAATATCAATTAAATGCATAGATTAAATATATTATCTCCATGCCTTCTGTTCAATTAAGAGCTAAACTTCTTTCATGAGGAAGCCAGACAAGTACTTATTAGATACTCAGACTTACAGAACTAATGTAACTAAATCATAATCATTAATAAAGATGTAAAAAAGAATTCACAAAAATGTTTTAAGTTCATTATTCAAAAGTCAGAACATCTGCCCTTCAATACAAGAAACTCTTACCTATCAATTAAAGCAATGATTATGTTTTTCACATTTACATTTTGGTGTAACTCAGCACAGGCCCGAAGAAAAGGATTCAAAGTTTGAAGGTGGAATTCATCAGGGAAAACCTGAAAATTAAATGATAATCAATTATTACTAAAATCAACTAGCAAAAATCAATTAGTAAAGGCATTTTCCACTATATTCTGGACTTAATATTTAAAACTCATATTTGTGGGGGGAAAAAATCATTTTAACATTATATAACCAAGTGCAACTACATCACTTTCAAGCCTCTCTAAACATAACCCCAGAAAGAAAGATTCTGTTAACCAAAGTACACTTACAATTAAACTAAAACTAATGATACCTAGACAACTTGGAGGTTACTCTTTCCTACATTTTGTGAAGAAAAACCCATCAATACAAAGACCACATTATTATATTAATAAGAGAAAAGGATTTATTCAGGAAAGCTTAATCTCTCTTCAATCAAGATTTTTTTCCCCAAAACAAAGAAAATTAATGAAATACAAAATGAGTTCTTTAAAAACCTGAAATGTTCTCACCTACCTGAATAATGCACTCCATGAGATATTCCTGAGCCAAAGCATCTCTGCAATTCACCACTTGCTCCAATATGCCAGTCAAAACAATCTGAAAGAGAAAGGTTTAAACAGTTAAAGAATTATTTTCAAAATCTTAAGTCACTCCTCCACTAACATATTTGAACTATGAACTTAAAAATCATATTTTAGGTTTTCCTGATCCATACTTCAAGACTAAACTGTAAAATTTTACAGAAGAATGTTTAAATAAAAAAATTCTGGGTTTCTATTTTGTAAAAGTCCATTTCATTGGTTTTTTTTCTTTTATGGTTTGTGTTTATTGTGTCCTAAGAAAGCTTACCTAATCCAAGGTTATAAAGACTTTCTTTGTGTTTTCTTCTAAAAATTCCAGTTGCAAATTTCACACTTATGACTTTGATCAATTTTTTTTGAGTTTCTCTGCATAGTGTGAGAATGGGTCGCAGTTCAGAGGCTTGGTTCGCATACAGATGTCCAATAGTTAGAGAATCACTTGCTGAAAAGGTTGCCTTTGCACCCTTATCAATAACTGATTATATATACGTGATTGATTATATACACACGAGTCTATTCTGGATCATCTCTTCTAGGGATTAGCAAATCTAGTTTAATGACCATTTTTGTATATTGTTTCCACAGTATCTTTGGCTGCTTTTGTACTACACTGGCAGAATTTAACAGCTGCAAACTATATGGCTTGCAAAACCAAAAAATAAGTACTATTTGGTCCTTTAAAGAAAAGGTTTGCTAATTCCTGATTTATTCTCCAATGATACATGTATTTATCCCTTTCACCAATATCACATTACTTTATTGTCACTTTAGAGTAACTCTATAGTAAAATAAATCTCAATGTAAAGAAAATTGGTATCTTGATAATGATAATACTGAGTCTTCCAATTCACAAACACAGACTCAAAATATAATTTTCAGTTTACTTAAGTCTTCTTTGATCAACAGTTTTCAATGCAATATTATTTTTAAAAATATTTCAATTTAAAAAATCAGACTTTATATATCTCATGACATAAGAAAAGATGAGCAGTAAAAAGATATAAACCTGTTTGTAACGTTCCACATTTACACCTTCCAACTGACTAAGGCGCACCAAATTTGTTCCCACTAAAATTCTCAGTTCTTGTCTTTCTCGTTCTCTTTTTTCTCTATCTCGGCTATGTCCCTGATGCTGCATTCGAACCCAGAGCTTGTTCATTTCTGCAAAGTTGAGTAGGACAAAATCCATGGAATCACTGATATCACCAGTTGTTTCTTCACTGCAAATAAACAGTTGGAAAAATCTTTATACACAGTATTTAAACATAGGAACAATTTACTAATATTCCTCTTCTTTGTGCATTTCCTTCTTACCTCTTTAACACCAAACGCTTCATGAAAGACATCTTCAACTACACTGTCTTAGTGCTCAATTTCAAGAGGAAGAGAGAAAAGAATATCAGGGAGGGGACACAGTTCAAGTTTAAAGGGACAAAATGCTTCCCCACCTCCCCACCCTTCTTGTGGGCTTCCCAGGGGGCACTAGTGATAAAGAGCCCGCCTGCCAATGCAGAAAATCTAAGAGATGTGGGTTCGATCCCTGGGTTGGGAGGATCCCCCAGAGGAGGGCATGGCAACCCATTCCAGTATTTTTGCCTGGAGAATCCCACGGACAGAGGAGCCTGGTGGGCTACAGTCTATGGGGTCATGAAAAGTCCGATACGACTGAAGCAACTTAACCACTCCTTTTCCTGGGCCAAATAAACCTGTTCTTGGAATTGTATTCCATTAATTCAAAAAGCCTTAAAAAATTGACACTTGTAAATGTCACTGTTAACTCATCATTTTATTATTGACTATTTTATGCTTACAACTGAACTATAAGCTTTGTAAGCTCTGTAAGGTAAAGACCAAGTATTTCTTGCTTAATTTTACATTTCCTAAGATGGGGAACTTAGTAGTTTTCAAAACTTTTTGCTGATTACTAAATAAACACTCAAAACTGAATCAAATCATAACACAGCAAAAAACCTCACCATCTTCTCTACATCTCTACACTGTTAAATTTTTATCTTTTGTACACCATTTAAATTTTTGTCATACGCATGGTTAAAGTTTTATTATAGCTTTTCTTTTAAAAAGGAAATGATGCAGATATACTAAAACCAACTAAAATATACACATTAGAAATAAATGAATAAGAAAACTTTTTAAAAAGGGAATTAAGGAGAAAAAAAAAGGGAATTAAGTTCCTCAATCAAAGGAAATTGTCATGTGAATAGTTCACCCAATTGGATAAAGACCATCTGCCATCTTTGTCAGATAAAAGCACAATAGACTCGGATGCTAGAATATTGGTTGCCTAAGAGACAACTCTCTCTGAATGGCTTCCCACCAACCCCCTCCCCCGGCCCTGTTTTGGAGTTAATATCTAATTTGTATGCACAGATAATTAAAATCACTTATACTCTGGGGTAACTAGAAGTCGCTAAATTATAAAAACTGATATGACATTCAAGAAACAATATGAAAACTGGCTAGCTCATAAAAAAAGTTAAATATACTTCATTATTTTATCACAATACAATTTTCAAAATGTAACTCATTTAAAAAGTCATATTTTCAAAGAATATCTGATGGAATGGAAAAATGCTCTCAATTATGCTAAATTAAAAAAGCAGGTTCTAACAATCTACACAAAATTTTCATAAGAGTACATGTTATATCACACCACATATACTGCATCTCAAAGGAAATCTATACACAAAATGCTACCAGTGGCTGACTCTGGGTAGGAGAATTACTGATATTTATTTTCTTCTATATACTTTTCTATACTTTTTATATGTTTTACAACAACAACAGTAAAAATACTACAGCTAAATCAAGAAATGAAAAGCACTTACTCTGTTGGCTCCCCTTCATCAGGTAAGATGTTTCTGGTACACTGAAGTAGATAATTTCGAAGAAACAGACCTCTTAAGGGATGTTGCACACCACGGCACATTTCTACCAAATCTTTCAGAATATCTTTCCTGGACTGAGGAAATGACTTGACGTATACAACTCCAACTGTGATCAACAGATAACTAGAAGAATGAGGCAACATTTGATTAGAAATAAAATACTCAAGAAGTTGACTATATTAAAACACAATATATACAAACATGAAGTAAACAAGACAGGAAGCAGGTTTTCTCTTATGTAATAAAGAAAATACCATCTAATTTAAAATTTAACTGCTTACTGACACCCTTCCATTTATTTATAATATCACCTTTAAACACATTAGGGCTCATAACTGTCATGATATTAACTTTTCTAGTAGTCAAGAAATTAAACAAAATATGTCCATTTTTTTCTATTTTCAAAGTTCCTCAATAATCTATAGTAAGTATTTATACTTCACAGCCTTAAAAAATCACTATCAAAATGTTAACCTCTATTTGTTAAGAAATTAAATAAAAACCCACTGATTTTAAAGGATATAACACAAAGTGGGAAATGCAGATATAAAAGCCCGCCGAGTCTTAATAACTTACAGCCTTGGGATAATGTTTCCGGCATACTGTACAAGTTCATAGAGATCTGCCACTTTTCTTCCTTTAGCAAATTCATCTGTCAGGTAAACTTCCAAGTAGTGCAGTTCATCAGAAATAGCCATATCTTTTAACTATCATTAAGGATTTAAAGCTAAGTCAACCTAAGAATGTTGACTCTACAACTTGTTGGACTCATTAAATTGGGCAAATTTCTTTTCTTGGTATTGCAGTTTTTTCTTTATTTATTGGGGGTGGGGGGCATGCCCCACAGCTTGTGGGATCTTAACTCCTCAACCAGGGACTGAAACTGGGCCATGGCAGTGAAAGCCCAGAATTCTAACCACTAAACCACCAGGGGATTCCTATACTGGGCAAATTTCCTAAGTGTTAGTCATGTAAGAAAGTATGTTTAAATTAAGTAAAGACAGAATTTCTTCTGGGCTTTCCTGACTTTAAGGGTTTTTAAAGATGTCTGGTAAAGCAAAACAATAAAAATAAGATTGCCCGTGAGACTACTAAACGGTTTTGAAACGGCAAATCACTGATGTCCTTTACATTTGAGAGTCCAGCTTGACAAAATCCTAGCATTAAAAAACCAATTGCTTAATACTTTCAATATCCTTCATGAGTAGTCTGAAAATTGATATAACAACAAGCCACATAAAGAAGTGTTAGCACAAAAAAGGGGTTTCTGATACTTTTCTCAGCACATTTGCAAAGAGAAGTACTATTTGATTAAGACGAGAAATAATACAACTTCTGAAAAACTTAGGGGACAAGCAAAATAAGCCTTATCAAGAAAATAGTATGATCAAAATGTTCTTCAACATTCAAAAGATACAAAGTTCATAGTAGCTCTTTGGTGATAACATAGAAGTCCGCAGTTCACCAAGCATATTAGAAGCATGTTTCAGAGCATCCATAAGCTTGTTTTTGTCCTACAGAAAAACCAAGAGCATTGGTGAGAATGCTTAATTTAAATAAACATTTAACTTTACAAACTTTAATCAAGGATCTATTACACAGTTTTAAAAGTATACAGCACCTATATTATTTTAATCACATAAAAATCAAGTTTAATTTCACCTTGCCTTCACTTTACTGAAAACAGTAAGATACGTAATTCCTCACCAGGCTGCAAAGCTTAGCAAATCTCATTTATCTAGGACCACAAGCTTCCTGGCAATAACTCAAATCTTTACAACCTTAGCAACTATGAAACTATAGCTCCATTAATTCATCTTTTTACCTGTAAGCAAGAAAACTGGCATACTGATTGTTTTGAAAGAAAGTTATTATTCTGACAATGGCTTGGTCGTTAAACATTCTTCAGAGATGTCTGCAATGACTGTTCCTTTAAGAATGCTTTTCTCCTCACAATGTCCATGTGCCCCACTTAAGACATAAATATAGACAATACCTTCAGATACAGAAACACTGCTCATACACAGAAAGAGAGAGAAGCAAGCACTAGCAAGCTCCATGCCACCCATTTTCTCCACTCCAAGAGTTTTGTTTTTATAAACTGGTTTGCAAGAAAAACAATACAATAGATACAATTGGCTAAAAGAACATATTACTAAGCTTTAGAAACTCTTAAAGACACTTTACAAAGGCAAGATATCATCATCATCATCATCAACACAGCAACTTATAATTTAAGTGCCAGCCTATTTGGTTTCATTTCTTAAATTTTATTCCAGAGAATCTATAGTTTCTACACAGAAAATCTACTCTTTCAGAATATGAAAATTAAGTACAGTTTTTAAGGTAGTTCTTGCAAAAAAATGTGTCTGTTCAGGACAGAAATAAAAGCCTTCAAGATAGAGGGGAAAGGCTGAACAATTCAAATGGAAAGCATTTTAATACATTTGTTCAACCAATATTTATTAAGCAACTATTATATGTCAAGTATTCCTAAGGTTTGAGGTATAGAACTGATGAGGTCAGTAATTCAGGTCAGATAGGGTATGGAGATAATACAGTGATGTGTAAACAGAAAGCAGGGTCTCCCATCCTCATGGAGCTTACATTCTGGTAGAGAAGACAGACAATTTCAAACCATAAATATAAAGGTAAGTAAATATTTCAACAGGGCTATCTACTGAAATTGCTCCACACAGTGCCTGAGGGAGCTGAGGCTGAATATTAGATTTACCAGAGCAGTAGTGCTACAGGCTTTAGAAAACACAGCCTAACATTCCCAGGAACATGCAGTCTACAACTGTGCCTCTCACACTGTCACTCTTACCAGGCATCTCTTCATCTGGAATGACTGGACCTTCACAGCCTGTATGGCTTCATCCAAGAGTTTCTCCTGCTCATCCTGCGGTGACTGCTGTGTTGTAGGCTAAAACAAATTTTTAAAAATCTCCCATTAATGCGGCATGAGAACTCTCTTCAGGCAAATCTGTTATTTTTATAGGTCTAGCCATAGTCTACATTTACAAAGCTTTCATATAAGCTTCATTCCATTTCTACATCTCAGACTCATTTATCAATTTTTGACAACTGAACAGAGAGCTGTGCTGTTATTGAAGTTAACAGCATAAGACTGCTGAAGGAGGAAAGTAATAGATACAGAGAATTTCTTCTCAGAAACGGACTCAACATTTCTGTGGCAGGTTGTCTTCAAAGAAATATAAGGTGGTGGTTTATGGCTGCCTATGTTCTGCTAATACACTCTAAATCCATCTAGAACATAACCAATCTGTGGTGGTTAAGTACAGTCTAACCCAAATCTCTGAAAGCTTCCTTTTTTCCTAAACTACCTTTCATCTTCATCTTAGTCTATCCTTAGGAAGACCAAGGAACTAGTTTATGAGAACACATATCCTCTTAAGCAATATATAATGAGGGACTAAACAGTTTAGAAATAAAATAGCTAAAATTGTTAACAGTGACTTGTAGTAGAACACCATAAAGAGTACATTCCCTCAAGGGATCTACCTTATCATTTCAAATACAGACAGCGACAGTTATAATGGACAAAATACATCCATATAGTCTTTTCTTTGCCATCAGAAAAATCTGCTTGCAAAATGAATTGATCTACCTGTGAAGTAGAATTAACCACTCCACCCCTTATGTTGTAATAAACACTGTGTTTATACCTTTGCTACAGTAGGCATCACATTATGACTATAAATGATAGTTATTTTTACATCCTTGGAACCCAACACATTGTCAGACACATAATGGATGCTTCATAAATGTTCTCTGTCTGAATGAGTAAGCTGGTTTTAGATTATGTTTGTAATAAAAAGCAACTAAAGAATCAACAGATGAATAGATAAATTATGTTATATATATATATATATATAGGGAATTTTACTCAATCATAAGGAGTGAAGTATTGATAGATGCTATGTGAACTACAAAAAGGTTATGTTAAGTAAAAGAAATCAGACATTTCGGAAGACCACACATTGTGTGACTCCACTGATATGAAATTAGGGCACAGCTCAGAGATACTGCACATTCAGTTCCAGTCCACAGCAGAAAACCAAATGTTGCAATAAACTGAGACACATAAACTTTTCAGTTTCGCATATTTACACTGTACTGTAGTCTATTAAGTCTGCAACAGCATTATGTCTAAGTAAATAATGCATATACCTTAATTTTAAAATAATTTATTGCTAAAAACTGCTAACCATCATCTGAGCCTTCAGCAAATTTTTGCTGGTGCAGGGTCTTACTTTGATGTTGATGGCTGCTGAGTAGTTAGGATGGTGGTTGCTGAAGGCTGTGGAGGCTCTGGTAATTTCTTAAAATAAGACAATAATAAAGTCTGCCTCATGGACTGGCTCTTCCTTTCATAAATGATTTCTCTGTAGCATGTGATAGTCTGATACCATTTTACCCACAGTAGAACTTCCAAAACTGGAGTCAGTTCTCTCAAACCCCGTGTGCTCAGTAGCTCTGCTGCTGCTGCTGCCAAGTCACTTCAGTCGTGTCCGACTCTCTGCAACCCCACAGACGGCAGCCCACCAGGCTCCCCCGTCCCTGGGATTCTCCAGGCAAGAACACTGGAGTGGGTTGCCATTGCCTTCTCCAATGCATGCATGCATGCTAAGTCGCTTCAGTTGTGTCCGACTCTCTGCGACCCCATGGACAGCAGCCCACCAGGCTCCTCTGTCCACAGGATTCTCCAGGCAAGAGTACTGGAGTGGGTTGCCATTTTCAGAGGCTCAGGAGATCAGTCATATCCAACTCTTTGGACCGTAGCCTGTCAGGTTCGTCTGTCCATGGGATTTTCCAGGCGAGAATACTGGAATGGGTTGTCATTTCCTCCTCCAGGGGATCTTCCTGTCCCAGGGATCAAACTTGCCTCTCTTGCATCTCCTAAACTGGCAGGTGGATTCTTTACCACTGTGCCACCTGGGAAGCCCCTCAAACTGCCCTGCTGTATTCACTAAGTTTACATATATTCTGAATCCCGTGCTGCCATTTTTAACAGTCTCCACAGCATCTTCACTAGGGGTAGAGTTCACATTAAGAAACCACTTTCTTTACTCATTCATACAAAGCAACTCTTCATCTGTTAAAGTTAGATCAGAAGATTTGGCAATTCAGTCACATCTTTAGGCTCCACTTCTGATTCTAGTTCTCTTGTTATTTCCACCACATCTTCAGTTACTTCCTCCACTGAAGTCTTCAACCAACCAAGGTCATCCATGAGGACTTGTTCCAAACTCCTTTCAAACTTCTTCCAAACTCCTGTGTATGTTGATTTTTTTTTTTTTTTACCTCTTCCCTTGAATCACAAATGTTCTTAATGGCTTCTAGAATGGTGAATCCTTTCCAGGTTTCCAAATTACCCAGATCCATCAAAGGAATTATTACCTATGGCAGCTACAGCCTTATGAAATCTTTTTCTTTGGCTGCACTGTGTCTTAGTTGCGGCACGTGGGATCTTCAATCTCTGTTGTAGCATGCAGGATCTTTAGCTGTGGCAATGTGAACTCTTAGTTGTGGCATGTGAGATCTAGTTCCCTGACCAGGGATGGAACTGGGCCCCCTCATTGGGAACGCCCAGTCTTAGCCACTGGACCACCAGAGAAATCCCTGAGATATATTTCTTAAATAATAAGACTTGAAATTCAAAATAACTCTTTGATCTGTGAGCTATAGAATGGATGTTGTGTTAACTGGCAGGAGAACAGTATTAATCTCACTGTACGTCTCCATCAGAACTCTTGGGTGTCAGGTACATAATCAATGATTAATATTTTGAAAGCAATCCTTTCTTTTCTGAGCAACGGGTCTCAACAGTGAGCTTAAAACATTCAGTAAACTATGTTGTAAACAGATGTGCTGTCATTCAGGCTTTGTTTTTCCATTTATGGGCACAGGCCCATACTTCATAAGGACCCTAGGATTTTAGGAATAGTAAATAAATACTCGCTTCAACTTAAAGTCATCAGCTGCACTAGCCCCTAACAAGTCAGCCTGTTCCTGAAGCCAGACACTGACTTCTCTACGGCTGTTAAAGTCCTAGATGGTATCGTCTTCCAATAGAAGGCTGTTTTGTCTACAAGGAAGATCCTTGTTTAGTGTAGCCACCATTATTAATTATCTTATCCAGACCTTCTAGGTAACTTGTTACAGCATCTACATCAGCATTTGCAGCTTCACTTAACATTCTTATGGTTGAAGATGGCTTCTTTACATAAACCTTATGAACCAACTTCTGCTAACTTCAAACTTTTCTTATGCAGCTTTCTTACCTCGCTCAGTCTTCACAGAACTGGAGAGGGCCTTACTCTGAATTAGGCTTTGGCTAAAGGAAATGTGATGGCTGGCTTTATCATCTATCCAGACCACTAAAACTTTCTCCATATCAACCTTAAGGCAGTTTCACCTTCCTATCATTCATGTGCTCACTAGAGTAGCGCTTTTAATTTCCTTCAGTAACTTTTCCTTTACATTTACAACTTAGCTAACTGGTACAAGAGGCTAAGCTTTTGACATGTCTTCCTCACTGAGTTTAATCATTTCTAGCTTTTGATTTCACTTGAACTCTTTCAACTCTTCGTTACATTTGAACACTTAAGAGACCACTGTAGGGCAATTAATTGGCTTAATTTCAATACTGTTGTATCTCAGGGAATTGGGAGGCTCAAGAAAAGGGAGAATACTGGAGAAGAGCTGGTCAGGGAGCAGTGAGATACACACACTTATCAATTAAGTTTGCAGACTTATGTAAGTACACTTTGTGTCACCTCAAAACAATCACAACTGATCACCATAAAAAATATGATAATGAAAAAGTATGAAATACTGTGAGAATTACCAAACTCTGACACAAAAACACAAAGTGAGCAAATGCTGTTAGAAAAATGGCACCAAAAAGACTTGCTAGATGCAGGATTGCCACAAATTTTCAATTTGAAAAAAAAAAAAAATGCAGTAAAGCGAAGTACAATAAAATGAGGTATATTTGCATCCAGAATAGGAAAATCATCCATAGAAACAGAAAGCAGGCTGGTGGTTACCAGGAGGGAGAGTGGATGAGGAACTGATTAATGAGCACAGGTTCCTTTTTGGGTGGTAAAAATGTTTTGAAATTGAGTTTCCCTAGGGCATACTTCTGCTTTATTGACTATGCCAAAGCCTTTGACTGTGTGGATCACAATAAACTGTGGAAAATTCTGAAAGAGATGGGAATACCAGACCACCTGACCTGCCTCTTGAGAAACCTATATGCAGGTCAGGAAGCAACAGTTAGAACTGGACAAGGAACAATAAACTGGTTCCAAATAGGAAAAGGAGTACGTCAAGGCTGTATATTGTCACCCGGCTTATTTAACTTAACATGCAGAGTACATCTTGAGAAACACTGGGCTGGAAGAAGCACAAGCTGGGCTCAAGATTGCCGGGAGAAATATCAATAACCTCAGATATGCAGATGACACCACCCTTATGGCAGAAAGTGAAGAGGAACTAAAAAGCCTCTTGATGAAAGTGAAAGAGGTGAGTGAAAAAGTTGGCTTAGCATTCAGAAAACTAAGATCATGGCATCTGGTCCCATCACTTCATGGCAAATAGATGGGGAAACAGTATCAGACTTTATTTTTGCGGGGCTCCAAAATCACTGCAGATGGTGACTGCAGCCATGAAATTAAAAGATGCTTACTCCTTGGAAGGAAAGTTATGACCAACCTAGATAGCATATCACAAAGCAGAGACATTACTTTACCAACAAAGGTCTGTCTAGTCAAGGCTATGGTTTTTCCAGAGGTCATGTATGGATGTGAGAGTTGGACTGTGAAGAAAGTTGAGCACCAAAGAATTGATGCTTTTGAACTGTGGTGTTGGAGAAGACTCTTGAGAGTCCCTTGGATTGCAAGGAGATCCAACCAGTCCATCCTAAAGATCAGTCCTGGGTGTTCACTGGAAGGACTGATGCTGAAGCTGAAACTCCAATACTTTGGCCACCTCATGAGAAGAGTTGACTCATTGGAAAAGACCCTGATGCTGGGAGGGATTGGGGGCAGGAGGAGAAGGGGATGACAGAGGATGAGATGGCTGGATGGCATCACCAACTCGATGGACATGAGCCTGAGTGAACTCCGGGAGTTGGTGATGGACAGAGAGGCCTGGCGTGCTGCGATTCATGGGTTCGCAAAGAGTTGGACACAACTGAGTGACTGAACTGAACTGAACTGAAGGCATACTTCTTCATAAGCATAAATAAATATCAAAGAAAAAGTTCAATATCTTTTAAATTGAACACTAACTAACACAACAAAACTATTAGTGTAAAATGCTGACAAGGAGGACATGTGCATTTAAGGATTCTGACTTAATGAAATTCACTATTCATCATGGGCTAGTTCTCTGAGATGAAACAGCGGTTTGGGTTTTTTGACTCCTTACCTCTCAATGCAATAGATTTAACAATTATTAGAATAAATGGATTTCACTAGGTTCAGAAGGCCAGCTTTGAGATAAGCAGAAATTTTTATTGTGGTAAAACACACACAATGTAAAATTTGCCATTTTAACCATTTTTAAGAGTGCAGTTCGGCAGCATAAAGTACATTCACACTGTTTTACAGCCACTGCCACCATCCATCTCCAGAACCTTTTCACCTTTCCAAAAGGAAACTCTGTGAGCAATAAACAATAACTTCCCATCCCCCCACTTCTGCCCTAGGCAACTACCACTTTCTGTGTCTAAGAGCTCGACTTCTCTAGGACCTCATATAAGGGAAATTATACAACATTCATTCTTTTGTGTCTGGTTTATTGCACTTGCCATAATATCTTCAAGGTTCATTCATGTTGTAGCATATGTCAAAATGTCCTTCTTAAGAACTTTACTTATCTATGGCTGCAGTTGGTCTTCATTGCTTTCAGTGGGCTTTCTCTAGTTGTGGCAAGTGGGGGCTACTCTCTACTTGTGGTGCTTCTCTCTTATTGCAGACTATGGGCTCTAGGGCTGCATTCTAAAGGAACATCTAGATGCCCTTCCTACCAAGAATGGCACTGAGCAAGACAGTTTAACATGAACATGATTTCACTACACACAAATTAGGTAACCAATGACCCCTCACTCATAAAGGGGGTTCTGCATTTACGAATGACTCTACATAGCAGTTATATGCATCAGAGAAAAATGGAAACACTAGAGTCAAGATCAAATTAACATTTGTGATTAGGCCCCTTTTAGCTCATAGATTCAAGCCAAATAGCCCTCACAAGTCTACAGTTAAAATGTGTAGAGAAAACAAAGGTCACTGTGAACATACCACTTATAAAACTAGTTCCCATTCAAACAATGTGCTTTCATTTCCTCTTGCAGCAAACAAGGATAACAGGATTACTCGTATCATTGTTATGAGTAATAAAGTGAAATGACACTGATAAAGCTTAAAAATTGCTTAGCACTTAGTAATAAGCAATTCACATGAGTGTTCCCATCGTTATTATATTCCCCATAGATACCAGCAATTATCTACAATCATCCTAGAGACTTGTCGATCTCTCCACTCATATAGATGTTTTCAAGATAGATGTAATCAAACAATGCAATGTTAATCAACTATAAAATGAAAATAACACATCTCACAAAGATACAGAATTTCATTATGTTAATGAAAACACTATTTTTTAAAAAGACTGTAAGACACAAAATAGCAACTGAAGTAGGGAGAACTAAGCATGATAAAGAATGGGAATATCCAAACATATATTTTAATACCAGCATCTCCAATTTCATTTACCAATAAATTTCCCCAGGAATCCTGTGATGGCACACACCATGAGCATTTACTTCCCCCAGCTTTATCTACTAACAATACACATTGTTCTCCACCTAGAAAATTTCTACTCACTGTCCTCAGAATCTCAGTTCACATGTTACTTCCTGTAATCTTTCCCATACTCCCCAGAACCGTCTCTCCTTTCATGGCCCCACAGCACTGAACTGACCGACTGTTCTCAGTACTCAGACTGTACTACATTAAGTTCCGTAAGTATCCCTGCTAGATTCTTAAGTTCTTTGAAAGCATGGGCTATGTTTTCAGTGCCCAGCACAGTGCATGACATAAAAGGCACACAAGATGCATGATAAATTGAACTGAATCCTAGATTTTAGAATTGGGAAGGGTCAAAAAGAGAACATTTGTTTTCAGATGCAAAAAGGAGACTCAAGAATGAGTGACTTGCCCAAGTCACAGAGACAGTGGCTGTGACAAGACTACTACTCAAGTTTTCTTTACCAGTAAAATTCACGAGGATAGGACAGTGTGTCTCGTTCACTATTTCAAACTGGTTCCTCAAGCACAGAACAGGGATATATAAGAGATCCTCAGGTAGGTGCTTTTTTATTACAAACACTATAAATGTCAATCCATAAATGTAGAGAAACAGACAAATGCTAGTTTAATTTTTGCACCATTCTTATATCAATTCCCAACTAAGAATTCAGAGAAATAAGCAAAATCACCTCGTACAGCATCATATTATATGAAAGCAATATATGTCAAACATTCTGCTTTTTGGCATTAGCGCATTTAAAGTGAAGGCAGTTTCCAGGCTTACAGGTTTTGAGAAGCTTGACTACACAAACTGAATAGTTTGATAACTAAAACTGACATACTGTACACCAACACGCTAAAACATTATTTATACAGTACAGACTATGTCAAACGCTAATAAAATGCAAGTGACAACTTGCCTTTGTGGAAATTAGACACAAGGAGTCACATTTTGAGGAAGTTCAAGTTCACGAGCCAACAGCTACACCACGATTTGCTGCCAGCATGGGGAGGCGCTGAGGAGAATGCCTACTTCCAGTGAGTAAAAGATTTGGATTTCATCAATGGGGAAGGCAGTAAGAGAGCCAGGGCGCCCAGTGAACAAATGTTAAAGGAAACAAGCAGTCTCTTTCTTGTCTCTCAGAATTAATGGATATCAGATAGTAGGAGTCCTCCCAGGAAATTCACCTAAGCCAGTCCCTAGAATTCTCTGACACACACTGCAATCTAAGAGGCCCATGAGGCTAAAAAAGGCCTGGGCACTATTAAGGACTCTCCAGAAGGTATTTCTTGCACAAGAAAAGGACACGAAAGCGCTACCAGGCACAAAGGTGGAACCGTCAGCAAGGCAGCAGCCTCTGGGCGGGTCCCAACGCCACCTCTGAGCCTCAGGCCCTCCGTACGCCCCCGTTCCAGCCAGACGCTCAGACCCAGCACTAGAGATCCCCTCAAGGAGGGGCGGTGGCCAACTCACTCAGAGGGGTCACAGGCCCTTACTTACTCTCAGAGGTACCGAGCGAATACACCCCCTCAAACAGCAACGGCCATGGCCAGGCGCCGCCGCCCACCCGATCCTGGATCGGCCCGCCTGCGGCCTTCCCCGGCCTGTCCCCCAACCCGTAGGCCAAGCCTGGCTGGTATTAGCTGCGACCCGGCTGCTGGGCCCCGACTCCGCCTGCACGGTTCCAAAGCGGTGGGAGTGAGCAGTGGCTGGGAAAAGGGTCAGCCCCGGGCCCGCCGCCCCTCACCACTCACCATGGCGACTCCCCTAAGCCTGCAGCGAGCAGCACCCACCCCGCGCGGAGCCTCCCGCGGTCAGGTGACTCTGCGGCCCCTCCAAGCCCCGCCCCCTCTGGCTCCGCCTTCAGACCCAGCAGAGGGCTCCTCGATTGGTCCCCCAACTCCCGTTATTTATTGGTCCCTGTCACTTCACGGTGGACTGACGGACCTAGGCGCCAGCCAATCTCTCCACAGTGTGTGAGAGGGCGGGGCAGTGCGGAGTAGCGTGGAAACTTTCGGCGGCAGGAAGGGGCCGCCGGAGGGAAAGGCAGCGTTCGAGTCTCTCCAGAAGGGAGGAATGGAATGAGTGGGAGCCATCCCAGCGCATTCACTTTTGGCCTTGACGTGTGTACTCGCAGCGCGCACGCGCAGAAGAATGGCCAGGATTGGTTTGCGGGCAGTGTAACATCTAGTCCCAACCAATCCAGATGCAGCGAGAGGGAGGGGGCCCAGCCTTAACTGGCGAGCGTAGCATCTGCGCGCGGGTTTCGTCGGGTCTCAGCTGTGGCTGTCTTCCTCGTCCGCACCATGGAGTCTGGTCTGATCAGGCGTTTAGCCCCGCGCCTGGGCATCGTCGAGCCGGAGGTGCTGAGGTGAGTCGGGCTGCGCACGCCCCACTAGCCCTGCGCCCTCCTCAAATGAGGCCCATACTTTTCCCGCGCAACGGCAGGATTTAGGCTCTACATCAAGAAACTCCTCCCGGCTGTGGACTCTGTGAGCTGTCCGGAGGGGCGAGCGGCCCCTGGGACCAGCTAGCACTGTGAGATGCACGGTGGTGGGAAAGGGAGAGAGCCGGAGAACGTGGGTCGTTTCCCTGAAACTTAACGGAGAGTGCGTTTACGGCAGAGGTAGACGGGATACAGACCCCAAGGAGGGCAGTGTCTGGTGGCAACTACATGCAGGAAACGAAATAGGATGGGTGTGTGGAGCCGCCGCGGGTGGGGCGGAGCGCGGCCTGTGCCTGCTTTTAATTTAAACAAACAAAAAAGACTTTCCAGAAAGCCTCGGAGGGGTTGCCGTTTGTTCTGAGACTCGATTGATAGAAGCTACCAGCCACGGGAAGATGTGGGAAGAGGGCCCAAGCTGGCACAGCAAACTGTACAAAAGCCCGGAGATGGGAAGGGCCTTTGCAAGATCCAGGGTTAGAAATAAAGTATTTCTAAATACTTTAAACTGTGAAGGGCAGGACTTAACTCTGGAGGGCAGGGCTAGGACGGATGCCTGGGCTGTGGATTAGTTGAGGGAAGGGAAGGAGCACTTCTTAAAAGACAGGAAGTATGGCCTTCTGCACTCTTAATCGTTTAGAATAGTGGTTCTCGAAGTGTAGTCCCTGGACCAGCAGCATCAATATTTTCTGCCACTTGGTAGAAATGCACATTCTTGGGCCCCACTCTAGGCCTACTGATCAAAAACTTGGGGCTTGTTTTCACATGCTCCAAGGTGACTGTCATGTACAGTAAAGTTTGAGAACCACTGATTTAGGGGAAGGAGGAACCCTGGTCTCGCCTGCCTGCCTCTTGTCTGTCATAGTTCATGCTTGGTCCAGTAATGGAAGGCTGAAAGAAGGGTTGGCCTTTTTTGGAGGATTTCAAGAACTTAATTCTTCCTGAAAGGATTGGAGCACAGTGATGTTTGGAGTCAGAGGGTTTGTTCTGTCTTGTAGAACCCTGTCCTTCCCCAAAGGATGTGAGTTTCATTCCCAGCCCCAAATAAACGTGCATAAGAGTTAGGGTCAGAATGAAGTCCACCAGGCTGAATTTATTGCTTACCAAAGTATTAGGCAAACTTCTGAAAAAGAAGGAGTTTTAGTGAATGTGTTGCTCAGGAAAGCAGAGGAGTACTTGCGACTGTCCCATGTGAAGTGTGTTGGCCTGTCTGCACGAACCACAGAAACCAGCAATGCAGTCATGTGTCTGGACCTTGCAGCTTCCTGCATGAAGTGCCCTTTGGACAGGGTAAGTAGGTCCCACTGAATGTCTGAATAATCTGGTGTGGCACTGAAGTTTAATCATATGTTTTCATTTCTGGTTGTACTAGCCCCTGTCACAACTCTGTTTTAGAATTTTTATCTAGAATATGTTGTTCTAGATGAAGTTTAGAACCATTTTGTCAAGTTGGAGAAAAAAACTTTTTTGCAACGATCTCTTTTCTCTTTACTACATACTTTCCCTGAGCACTTCTTTCCTTATACAAAGCCATCTATCAAACTGTCACTAGCATCATCCTCCTAAATAACATACTTTAAAACAATCGTATTATTTTTCTTCCAATGTCACAGTGGTTGAGAGCCCAGCTATGGCAAGACTCACATGTTGAGACCAGATCTCAGCACTGTCAGTTACTAGTTCTGTGAGTCTCTTGTGTCCTCATCTGTCAAGTAGGATAAGAGGTATCCATTTCACTGGATAATTGTAAGGAAGAAACACAATATATTATATATATATAGTCGGTATATATATATACACACAATATACAATATATATGTAGCACTCTTAACACAGTGCCTGTCACGTAATGCTACAGTGATAAAATGGTGGCATGGTAAACACCATTGGCTTCCAATGGGTTGGCTCCCCATTACCATCAAATTCTCCAGCCTCTCTTGAACCCTGTTAACCTCAAGCTACACTGTTCGCTTGACAGACAATGCCCTTTAGTGGCTGACTTTTACATGCACTGCCTTTATTTTTTAAACCCAGGATGCTCTTCTAGCAAGCTTCTGTTTGTCTTAAAATGACCCCACTTTGCTGTTACATCCTTTATTAAGCTTTTCTTCCCCAGGCAGAGTTGGTGTCCCTCAGTTGTTATCCCTCCTGTTTCTCTCCCAGTTTCTGTCTCCTGTCCCTTTCGCACACACTTACCCTCCCCACACCACTCCCACTACTTCCCTCCTTCGTTTTTCCAGTGGATTACAAATTGGCACCTTTGTTAAAACAAGTATAACTTTATATATGTCTTCTGTGTTTTTTAATTTGTGGGCTTCACATGTGGCACTACTGGTAAAGAATCCACCTGCCCATGTAGGACACACAAGAGACATGGGTTCTCTCCCTGGGTTGGGAAGATTCCCTGGAGTAGGAAATGGCACCCTAGTCCAGTATTCTTGCCTGGAAAATTACATAGGCAGAGGAACCTGGCAGTCCATGGACCTGGTTACAGTCCATGGGACCTCAGAGAGTCAGACACAACTGAGCATGCACACATGCGCGTGTGCATACACACACACATTTTTTAGCTCACAGCTTGGTATTGGTAGCACTATGTTGTATTTTAAATCATCTGCACACACGTGTGACATGACTGCCTTTCTACAGGTAGCTTCTATAGGTGAGCTTATTGTGAGTATTACTTAACTTGCCTGACATGGTTACTGATTTTTGAGTAAATGAAGCTAAACCTTTAGGTAGTGTGACTTACCAAAGAAATAATTAATTTTGAAAAGTTAACTTATTAAACAAGTGTTAAAGGTACTATTATAGAGCACTTATGATTTTTATGATTCATTTCTTTTTCCTTTCAAAGGCTTACTTGATTAAACTTTCTGGCTTGAACAAGAAGATGTATCAGAGTTGTCTTAAATCTTTCGAGTGTTTATTGGGCCTGAACTCAAATATTGGAATAAGAGACCTAGCAGTACAGTTTAGCTGTACAGAAGCAGTGAACTTGGCTTCAAAGATACTGCAAAGGTATGAGGCATATAATTAAAACTCAATACTGATACGTAAAATGGAAGTATCCAATGTCCTGGAAATTTTCAGTTTAAAAAATAACTAACATGCTGAAGTGACAGAATGTATTTCTTATACATTTAAACTTTCACATTGATGAGTTCTTATTTGCATTTTCAGTCCCTTTGAAACAATATTTTCTAACAAATAACTCTGCAAACACTGCTTTTACTTAGCTATGGGTCCAGTCTTCCACAAACACAGCAAGTGGATCTTGACTTATCCAGGCCACTTTTCACCACTGCTGCACTGCTTTCAGCTTGCAAGTAAGTATTCCTTTTACCAGTCAGGAAAGTCTGTAATTTATAAATAAATTCCTCATTCCCAAAGAATACTTCTAATTTAGTTGATTTCAACTCAAAGCATATTTTCCTAAATAACATTAATAGTGGCCAAGTGACCCGAGTCTCAGTTTATCCCACAACAGATCTGACAACTAGGAATTAATGTTGCCCGAAGCCTACTTGCCAATATATATAAGCTGGATAATCTGATTTCAGGGTCTGCCTTTTATAAATAATGAAATCTGTCATTAAAATAGCATTTAGTTATGATTTTCCAGTCACATTTTTAAAGTATTGATTACAACTCTTTTTCAAGTAATTTATAAAACATTTCAATAATAAATTCTTAATTTGAATCTTTGGGGTTATCTATATGTATACTGACTAAAATTTTACCCTGGAAATATTGGTAATTGCTATCTTCATCTAAAGTTGTCTTGTTTTATCTTGCTGGAAAACTCCTCAGAAAACAAAATTAGTTGGCTGTTAGGAAATAGGTTTTTTACTACCTAACCACTAATTTTGATGTGTTTGGCTCCATTAGCTACTATTAGTGATTAATTGGCCTTAATAGAAAATGCCTTTTAATTCAATAAAAGTATATGGAGGGAATATGACTATTATAGAAAACAATATGGACAACCTTACTTTTGAAACCAAGTTTCACTGAGCAAAAAAAGATTCAAATAGGTCTGTTATCTGAATTAACACGCTTTCTTTGTTATTTTTCATTAGTGGTTGTTGTGAATTATTATTAGGGAGGGAGTTTTTGGAGGTGAGAGTGGTTTATATTCTTGTAGTAGTATAAATATAAGCATCTTGAGTTAAAGTGAATTAAATATTTTAACATGCTGTAATTGACATTCAGCAAATTAGTTAATATCTAAGATTTACTAGAAAGAGTTCTATAAGGCATGAGGCACTACAGTAGATGTCTTTCATGTGTCCTGTTTGTTATATAACAGATAACGTGTATATTACAATTCTTGCAGTACAATAAATAACTAAATAAATAGTTTTAAAAGGTAAGTTTGCATGGTTTTTAGCTAATGATATGTGTGTGAAGTAAAGGGAAAATTAAACAGTTGGGAGCTCTTCATAAAGCCTGAGTGGAAAGGAAATAAGTTGATAACTGTTTGGCCGAAGAAGATAATAGTACTGATCTTAAGAACTGCAGTTTATCAAATTCTTTTGTAGGATTCTAAAGCTAAAGGTGGACAGAAATAAAATGGCAGCCACATCTGGAGTTAAAAAGGCCATATTTGATCGACTCTATAAACAATTAGAAAAGATTGGGCAGCAGATTGACAGTGAGTAATTCATTCCATGTTTCTAGAATGTGTCACTTGAAAATGTAAACCTGATGGTAAAAGTTAAATATTTTCAAACTTGCAAACTAGCTGCTTTCTGAATTATATATTTACTATAGATGAGATCAATTTTTAGTAAGAAAATTACTCTTTATTTTCAGTAACAAAATTAGTTTGTTTTCAAATAAATGGCTTAATAACTAAAAACAACCATTAAAAAAAATGCTGTAATTCTGTAAATTCATGCCTAGAGAACAGATTCTCCCTTTTGAAGTCTGACAAGAAAAGCCAAAGAAAAGAGAAAGCAAAATAATTTTCCTTCTCCTTATCCTAGTATTTGGTCATTCGAGATACCTAATTTTTATTTGTGATCCAAAATACACCCCAAAACTGAAATTAAAAATAAGAGAAAAATGAACTCAGATGATATATATATATACATGTATGTATATATGTATATATTTTCCCCCCCCTTAAAGGAGAACCTGGAGATTCAGCTACTCCACCACAGAAGAAAAAGAAGACAGTGATTGAACCTTCAGCAAAGGGTGAGGCATGTTAATACTACATGAAGATTGAATTTGGTACAATAGGATTAGTGTACAATGGATTTAATGCAGTGAACGGCCCTTTGCTGCTTTAGTAGCTTGCCTTAACAAGAGTCAGGTTTTACATTTGCAGCAACATGGATGGACCTAGAAATTATCATACTAAACAAAATAAGTCAGAGAAAGACAAATACCAGTGATAACACTTCTAGATGGAGTCAAAAATATGACACAAACGAACTTATTTATGAAACAGACAGACTCACAGACACAGAGAACAGACTTGTGGTTGCCAAGGGGACAGGGGTGCAGGAGATGGTTGGATTAGGAGTTTGTAACTATCAGATGCAAACTATATATAATGGATGGGTAAACAACAAGGTCCTACTGTATAGCAGGTACAGCAGGGAACTATATTCAGTGTCCTGTGATAAACCATAATGGAAAAGAATATAAAAAAGTAGATATATGTATGTGTGTGTGTAACTGAATCACTTTGTTTTACACCAGAAACTGTCACAACATTATAAATCAACCATACTTCATTTAAAACCAAAAAGAGTCAGATTTTAGCTAAATCCTGTCAGTTAATCATTGATAATACCAGTTTTCCAAGCAGTAGTTTACACAAGTAGTGTGTAATTAAGAATATATCTGATGGCCAATAAACACGTGAAAAGATGCTCAACATCACTAATTATTAGAAGAAAGAAAGTGTTAGTGGCTTAGTTGTGTCCAACTCTGTTTGACCCCATGGACTGTAGCCCACCAGGCTCCTCTGTCCATGGGATTCTCCAGGCAAGAATACTGGAATGAGTTGCCATTTCCTCCTCCAGGGGATCTTCCCAACCCAGGGATCGAAGCTGGGTCTCCCACATTGTAGGCAGATTCATTTCCATCTGAGCTACCAGGGAATCAAAACTTCAGTGAAGTATCACCTCATGCTAGTCAGAATGGCCATCATAAAAAAATCTACAAACAATAAATGGTAGAGTGGGTGTGGAGATAAGTGACCCCTTCTACACTGTTGGTGGGAATGTAAACTGATACAACCATTATGGAGAACAGTATGGCGATTCCTTAGAAAGGTAGTAATAAATCTACCATATGACCCAGCAGCCCCACTACTGGGCATATACCCTGAGAAAACCATAATTGAAAAAGGCACATGTACCCCAGTGTTCATAGCAGCATTGTTTACAATAGCTAGGACATGGAAGCAACTTAGATGTCCGTTGACAGATGAATAAAGGTGTGGTGTATGTGTGTGTATATATATGTATATACACACATATTCATACAATGGAATATTACTCAGCCATAAAAAAGAACACATTTGAGTCACTTGTATTGAGATGGATGAACCTAGAGCCTGTTATACAGAGTGAAATAAGTCAGAGAAAAACAAATATAGTATCAGTTCAGTCACTCAGTCATGTCTGACTCTTTGAGACCCTATGGACTGCAGCATGCCAGGCTTCCCTGTCCATCACCAACTCCTGGAGCTTACTCAAACTCATGTCCATCAAGTTGGTGATGCCATATTAAAGCATATATAATGGAATCTAGAAATATGATATTGCAGGAAGGATTGGAGACAGATGTAGAGGACATAGTCAGGGAGGGAGAAAGTAGGACGAATGGAGAAAGTAGCATCAACATACATACACTATCAGGTGTAAGATGGATAGCCGGTTAGAAGTTGCTATGTAGCACAGGAAGCCCAGTCTGGTGTTCTGTGATGACCTGGAGGGATGGGATGGGGGGAGGGGAGGGAGGCTAGGAAAGGAGGGAATGTATGTATAATTATGACTGATTTGCATTGTTTTATGGCAGAAATCAATACAACACTAAAAATTCTTTTCTTAATACTTAAATTTTTAAAAATAGAAGAAAAAGAATACATCTGAAGACAAACTGTTTAGGTTCAAATCCTGCTTTATCACCTACTGGCTGTGCAGTTTTAGGAAAGTGACAATTTCTGTGAACCTCAGTTTCCTAATCTATAAAATGTGATTAATGTTAGCATCCATTTCATAGAATTGTGGTGAAGACTGAATGAGATAATACAATTAAAGTGCTTGGTTCAAGGTTTGATGAATGTTAACTATCGTCAAGAAGTCTTGAAATGCTTGGAGTATAAGGGAGAGTGAAAAACCGATGTGTTTACTTGTTTCCACTTTTCATTCTGGTATCTTATTCCCTGTTACCTTAATTAAGATAGACATTTTAAAGTAAATAAGCTTAATTCTTTCTTACTTATTTATAACATAAGGATTTTGAAACATTAAAAAAATGTTTTTTCTCTCGTAGAAATAGAAAATGCAGTAGAGACCCTACATAAACCGCAAAAAGATGAAGATCTGACACAAGATTATGAAGAATGGAAAAGGAAAATTTTGGAAAATGCTGCTAGAGCTCAAAAGTCTGCAACACAGTGATTTCAGCTTCCAGACTAACTTGTACTGCAAACCAGCAGTGCATCTGCCACCTCAAGGAAAATGTGAGGACTTTGGAAATTTGTTTAAACTTTTAAAACAAAGATCCTATTCTTAATGGCAAAGAAGCCAGCCTTGGGGCTGAGCAGGATGGCTCTGATATGGGTGGCAAATTCATTAGTGCCTGGTTGACTCAGCCTTGGCTCCCCACAGGTCTGCACTCTGCAAAATGTAATTGAAGCCATTTTGCTTTTTTGTTTTGTTTTAAGCAAAAGACAGTCTCTTGCCCTATCCATAATATGAATTTCAGGCTGAATGGAGTCTAAGGATTTCACTTAAGTTTTTGTGTAAATCTCTTGGTTTGAATAAATCCATATATGGTACAATCTTAAGTTAATAAATATTATTTTTATATGCATTAAAAGTGTACTTGTTATCAGTTTGGGAGAATTCTTGTGATGCCAAAAGCTGTCTTCTCTGACGGGAAAAAAGACCCAGGTTGCTGAACTGAACCATACTGCTCCCCAGAGCACAAACTCTTGAATCAGGCTTTCTGGGTTTAAAACCCTGCTCAGCTCTTACCACCTGTGAAACCTTGAACAAGTTAATTAGCTTCTTTATCCTTCATCTGGTTATCCCTATAGCCCAGAGGTTAAAGAATCTGCCTGCAATGCAGGTTCGATCCCTGGGTCAGGAAGATCCCCTGGAGAAGGAAATGGTAATCCACTCCAGTATTCTTGCCTGGAGAATTCCATGGACAGAAGAGCCTGGTGGGCTACAGTCCATGGGGTCACAAAAAGCTGGACACAGCTAAGTGACTAACACACATCCTTCATCTATAAGTAGGAATAAAAGAGATGTCTACCTCATAGAATAATTGGAGGAGTATCTGAGCCAATACATGTAAAGCATTTAGTGTGGCTCCTGGTATAAGAATTTAGTAAGTATTAAAATATAGAAACACTTATAGAGGTCTCACATAAATATATATTAGCATCATATTAAAAAATTAAGAAATAAACCAAGGTGTGACAACATGGATGGACCTAGAGTATTAAGTAAGTCAGAGAAAGAAAATTACCGTATGGTCTCACATGTGGAATCTAAAAACAAACAAACAGGCTCAGATACAGAGAACAAAGCGGCGGTTGCCAGAGGGGAGGAGGGTCAAGGGGATAAGTGAAATAGATGAGGGAGATTAAAAGGTATGAACTATGTGTTATAAATAAGTCATGGGGATGTAATGTACAGCATAGGGAGTATGGCCGATAATGTAATCACTGTATGATGACAGATGGTAACTAGACTGGTGGTCATTTCATAATGTATAGAAATACCAAGTCACTATATTGTACACCTGAAACTTATATAATATTGTGAGTCAATTATACTTTAAAAAAGAAAGACCAAGGTTTATTTTCTTTGCTATCTACATACTGAAAAATATAACCTTAGTAAATACTACTTATTCTAAAACTATGGAAAAAGACTGGGAAGATAAGTTGCTAGTGGTTCTAAGGCATCATGCCAGACATGATTTTAACTAAAATGAAGAACACATGATCTAAGTAAATATTTCCATGAAGACTGCAATAAAGTGATTGCATCTAAATTGTTTAAACCTGTTTAGGGTGGTATCAATAATGATGGTGGTGGTGGTGGTTTAGTTGCTAAGTCGTGTCCGACTCTTTCGACCCCATGGACTGTAGTCTGCCAGGCTCCTCTGTCCATGGGATTTTCCAGGCAAGAATACTGGAGTGGATTGCCGTTTAGTTGTTGTTTTCTACTTACTATAAATAAGGTATAATACCTGCTACATAGAACAGAAGTAGTTCAAGGAGTGATTTTCTTCCCCAGCCCCTTTTAATTCTAGACACTTAGCAAGCTGTAATGGCTAAATGCCATAATCAAATGATCTGAAAACAGGTATAATATCCCACAGCCCTGTGGTAGATGGGAATGAATGTGAGCTTTAGAACCACATGCAGTTACGTTTAAATTCTGGCTCTGCCACTGATAGCCTAAGGAAATTTCACAACCTTACTGAGCTTCAGTTTCCTTGTTTAAAAAACAGATATATGATCTACCTTGTGAGAATTGAAGGTAATGTTTGTAAAGTGTGTGATACTTACAAGGCATTCACTAAATAGTACTTCTGTTATTACTTTGATCTAAAATGGGTGAGTCTTTTCCTCATTTAAAAAGGTATATAGTCTGGTTTTGGTGCCAAGGTTTAGATTCTAGCTTTGCATCAAAATTAAAGCACACTCATTTAAGAAAATAAATTGTGGTAAAGTACATATATAGTTTACTATCTTAACAGTTAAGTCAATATAGTCAGCAGTGCTGCAGTGCTTCCCCGGTGGCTCAGTAGTAAAGGATCTGCCTGCCAACGCAGGTGATACAGGTTCGATCCCTGGGTGGGGAAGATCCAGCAACCCCTCCAGTATTCTTGCCTAGGAAATCCCATGGACAGAGGAGCATGTTGGGCGGCCATCCATGGGGTCACACAAGAGTCAGATGCAATTTAGTGACTAAACAAAAAAAAAAACAGTAGTGTTTAGTACATTCACATTATGTGATCCCCAGAACTCTTCACCCCATAAAGCTGACTCTACCCATGAAACCCATTAACAACTCCTATTCCTCCCTCCCCAGCCTCACACAAACACCATTCTACCTCTGAATTTGACTAATCTAGCTAGAAAACTTCACCTAAGTAGAATTATACAGTATTTTTTGTGTGTTTTTTTCACTTAGCATAATGTCCTTAAGGTTCATCCATATTGTGGCATATGTCAAAATTTCTTTCCTTTTTGAGGATGAATAATTTACCATTGTGTGGATATACCTATACACTTTGTTTATCCACTTATCTGTCAATGAACATGTAGGTTGCTTTCATCTTTTGGCTGTTGTGAATAGTGCTGCTATAGATGTATGTGTGTATGTGTGTGTGTGTGTGTGTGTGTGTGTGTATAGTGTTTCTTGGAGACCCTGCTTTCTATTTTTTGGGGCATTTACCCAGAAGTGACATTGCTAGGTCATATGATAATTCTATTTAAAAATTTTTGAGGAATCACCATACTGTTTTCCATAGCAACTGCATCATATTACATTCCCACTAACAGTGTACAACAGTTCCAATTTCTCCACATCCTTGCCAACACTCTCATTTTCTGCTTTTTTTTCTTTGTTGGTCAGTAGCCATCCTAAATTGGTATGAGGTGGTATCTCACTGTGGTTTTGATTTGCATTCCCCTGATGATTACTGAGCACTTTTTCATGAGCTTATGGGCCACTTAGGAAAATGTCTGTTGAAATCCTTGCCTATTTTTTAATACAGATTTTTGTTGTCATTAAGTTGTTCTTTATATAGTATAAATATTAAGCCTCTATTTAAAAAAATGATTGCAAATATTTTCTCCCATTCCTAAGGTTGCCTTTTTGCTGTTAATTTCATGAGAATAAATCTTAGTACTATTTATGACCTTTCTTATGCCTTAAAAGCAAGCGATGGTAATTATTTTGATTATCTGATAGAATAAGATAATCAAACCAAGAATAAGTTCTTGGTCATTTCTTTTGTTTTCTTTTTTTTAATTTATTTTTAAATGGAGGATAATTGCTTTACAATTTTGTGTTGGTTTCTGCCATACCTCAAAATGAATCACCTTTCTACTATTAGGTTGGTGCAAAAGTAATTGTGGTTTCTTTCACGGTTGAAATTTCCTGTTTGATATTGGAATACATTCTTAAATAAATGTGGTTATGTTACACATTATTTTAATGCACATTTCTCACTTTATTTTTTTATTTTTTTTTTGCTAATGACATTCAGTCAGTCAGTCAGTCAGTTCAGTTGCTCAGTCGAGTCCAACTCTCTGCAACCCCATGAATCGCAGCATGCCAGGCCTCCCTGTCCATCACCAACTCCTGGAGTTTACTCAAACTTGTGTCTATCGAGTCAGTGATGCCATCCAGCCATCTCATCCTCTGTCGTCCTCTTCTCCTCCTGCCCCCAATCCCGCCCAGCATCAGGGTCTTTTCCAATGAGTCATCTCTTTGCATGAGGTGGTCAAAGTATTGCAGCTTCAGCTTCAGTGTCAGCCCTTCCAATGAACACCCAGGACTGATCTCTTTTAGGATGGACTGCTTGGATCTCCTCGCAGTCCAAGGGACTCTCAAGAGTCTTCGCCAACACCAGTTCAACAGCATCAATTTTTTGGTGCTCAGCTTTCTTCACAGTCCAATTCTCTCATGACATTACTTGCTGTTTATTTTATAATTATGGAAATGATGTTAGACAAAAGGCAAATTTGAGCAATTTTCCTACCTGAGTTCAAAATGGGTTTTAACACAGTGGAGATAACTTGCAACATCAACAACACATTTGGCCCAGGCACTGCTAAGAAACATACAGTGCAGTGGTGGTTCAAGAAATTTTGCAAAGGACACGAGAGCCTTGAAGATGAGGAGCATAGTGGCTGGCCTTTGGAAGTTGACAATCACCAATTGAGAGCCATCATCAAAGCTGATCCTCTTACAACTACACAAGAAGTTGCTGAAGAATTCAACATCAACCATTCTATGGTCATTCAGCATTTGAAGCGAATTGGAAAGGTGAAAAAGCTCAATAAGTGGGTGCCTCACGAGCTAACCACAAATAAAAAAAAATCACCATTTTGAACTGTCATCTTCTCTTATTCTGTGCAACAACAATGAACCATTTCTCAATTGGATTGTGGCATGCCATGAAAAGTGGATTTTATATGACATCCAGTGATACGATCAGCTCAGTGGTTGGACCAAGAAGAAGCTCCAAAGCACTTTCCAAAGCCAAACTTGCACCAAAAAATGCTCATGGTCACTGATTGGTGGTCTGCTGCCAGTCTGATCCACTACAGCTTTTTGAATCCTGGTGAAACCATTATATCTGAGAAGCAGATCGGTGAGATGCACCAAAAACAGCAACGTCTGCAGCCAACACTGGTCAACAGAAA